CTGCCCAGTTTCTCGACCTCTCCCCTTTGCTCCCTCTCTTCAGCTTCATCCAAGAGAGTGCTCAGATACCTTAGTTTAGTGGTTCTCAAACTTTTTAGCAACCTGAGGATCCACACTTTGATTTAAACATTTTCTGGGACCCCTCCCCCCATGGCCTTCTGCTCAGCCCTTGTCCCACCACCTTCCCTAAGGTCAAATCCCTGCCCTACCCCTTCTCTAAAGCCCCACCCCCCACACCCTGTATCCACCATCCCTTACTTGCTGCCCCCTTCTCCCCCACATCACTCACTTTCACCAGGCTGGGGCAAGTGAGTGGGGGCAGAAAAGAGTGTGGGCTCTGGGAGGGAGTTTGGCTGCAGGGTGCAGGCTCTAGGTTGGGGCAGGGGATTAGGGTATGGGATGGGGAGCAAGCTCTGGGAGGGAATTTGTCTGCAGAATCTAGGCTGGGGTAAAGGGTTGAAATGCAGGAGAAAATCTCGGGTCAGGGTTTACCTCAGGTAGCTCCCAACCAGCATATCCTTCTGGCAGTGGCTCTTAGGTAGGAAGCTCAGGAGAGCTCCACATGCGGGCCTGCCTTCAGGCACTGCCTGTAAAGCTCCCATTGGCCACAGTTCCAATGGGAGCAGTGAGTGGTATCAGCACTTGGGATGGGGAAGCATGCAGAGATCCCCTTGGCCACCCCCAGGGGATGCAGAGATGTTGCCAGTCACTTCCAGAAATGGCACAGACCCAAAGTCACTGCTCTTCCCTCCCTCCAAGCACTGGATTCACGCTTGGAGTTCTCTGATGTGAAGGAGACACTCAGAGGAAGTGGGAGGCACTAAGGGAGAGATGGGGATGGGTTTCCCAATGGGGACCACAGTTCTCCTGGAGTACCCCACTCCCTGAGATCTGTGGACTTCAGTTTGAGAAATGCTGCTTTAAAGGAATTATCACACACCATTAAGTCTCAGGAATTTAAGCCAGAAAGGAGCTGTTTCATGTCCCAATATCTGTTTCTTTTTACCTGTTAGGAAAATGCTAATCTGTATGGTTATAATGTACTTATTCCACAATTATAACAAAAAGTTAGTCCTGAGAGCTGAGGTACATTTATTCGTCTTTGGAATTTCTGGGTTTCAGTCATCTCAGGGAAAGTGAAAATACATGTTTGTTCTTATCTAGTCTCCTTTTGTGAATGCTGAAAGCATGGAAAGGAAGGTTCACAAAAAAGTCCCTGTGCTGGATCAGTGGGTTGTTGTTGTTTTTTTCACATCTACGTTGAGGGGCACTGCCAGCTACTTGAGAATGTTTGAACAATTATGTATTTGGCTTAAGCTGGTATTGTTAGTTCCTTGGTTCTAGGGATGGTAAAATCATTTTCAATGTATTATTTTTCTTTTAAGAAAATGGGGGAGTAGACGTAAAGAAGGGGGATCCCTTGCCAAAAGAAAAAAGGAATGAATGCTACCTGAGAAATATTTTATTTCATTAAAGATCCTAAAATTAAGTCAGTTATGTCATTGTGCAGCAAGATTTAACTAGTGTGGAATGGGCAGGAGAATGGCATATGTCTGACTTATATTTCAATTATATTATCATTTATTTACTAGCTAATACACTTGCATTTCACATTTTGAAAGATGTGTAAGGTACTTCACAATACTGCTGTTATCTTGTGTAGTGATTTGTATTCAAATTGGTTACTGGATTGCCTCTCACCTGTTTGAAAATATTAACAGCCAGGAACTGTTAATTCAGTGTATGTAAATAAATTTGGTTCTAATGTAACAGTTTCTGAGCTGATAAAATAAGCTGGGAGATCAGGTGGATGTGCTGCATCTGCTCAGGGGCCCAATAAATGTGGCTGACATCGAAAGACCAGTCATGTGGAAAATGTGATTAAAGACAAGACATAAATAATGATGGCCTAATGGCTTAAAGGGCTTAATGACTCATTGTGTCCTGTGTCCAGAAGGTCTCTCTTTCTACCTGGAGAACAAAGTGGTGACTAGCACATAAAGAAGTGCCAAATGCACACATCATTAGCTTATAGCCAAATGTAAATCCATTCAGCTCAGTGACCCTTAGCCATTGCAGAGCAGTATATCTGTGCCTGGTTCTTTTGGTTCACTATAGAAGTATCCTTTACAGCGGCAACAAATTCTTATTGTCCTTTAAATTTGCCAGCAAGATGAACTAAAAAGTATCTTTTTTCCTAATAACATAACTGTGACGCTGTCCAATACCTGACAGCATTGGTAACTTGGAAGTGAGGAATCTGTTCTGCACTGGGCAAAGTCCAGAGAGACTTAGCATAATAGCTAGCCTTTTTTTTAACAGTGTATTCATTTATATATAATGAATGCAGTCATTATGTTTAATGATTAGAGTAACTACAGACTATTTTCATTACAGCTTTAGCAAGTCCTGAGTGTAAGGGAAAAGAAAATATTGTCTCAAGTAGTATGTGTTCTGCAAGATTCTCCCTTATTCATCTTAATGTTAGTGCCATTAATTATAGTCTTTGCTCAAGGAGTCACTTTGCAAATGCAGGGTGGAAAGTGCTTTACTCTGCAATTTGCTTTCATTGAGGGAAAAGGTTCAGAACTGCAGCTTTTTTGGTTTATTGAGTGAATCAACAAATTCAGTCTACATACTTGGTGAACTCCTGTATTTAGAACACTTCATGTATGAGAGGTGACAGCATTGTTACCCTTATATTCCATCTTATTGCAATGTCCTTGTAACAGAAGAGTGGAGTGTGGGGGTGGGCATCTGTCTGTCTTTTGTGATTTACCAGTCTGTAAATGTGAATATCTCTTACAAGAGTCTTTGAAAACATTTTTTCCCCTAACAGATTGTATACCTTAGTGGTTCCCAAACTCTGGTTTCAGAGAACTGACTAGTTACGTAGTGTTGACTCCTCTCCTTCTATTCAGAATCTAAGCTAACACTACAAGTTAAAATAATTAAATATGCTTCATGCACCTAATCGGTGTAGTATGTTATGATTGTAAAAGGAGAGGATACAGTCCCAAGTGAGTCAATTTCTCTGGTAATGTGGTTTACACTAGGGATATAAAATCCCAATTAATCAGTTAACTGTTAAGTTGATGTAGGAGACTCAAGGTCCCAGCCCCACTCCCACTAGCAGAGGCAGCAGGCCCTCAGCCCTGGTCCCAAGGCTGCTGCTGCTGCTGGTAGCAGCAGACTCCTGGCCTCAGTGTCAGGGCTGCTGCTGCTGGCAGTGACACAACACTCCAAGACTTGTTCCCAGGAAGCTATGGGTGGTGGTCTGCTCCCAGGCACCGATTGACCAGTACCCAATAAGCATCATTCAGTAGGTTAACTGGTTACCTGTTTGCATCCTTACTTTACACTATGAATATTTCTGGACACAATCCATCACACTCTCTAGCCTTCAGGTCTTTCAATCAAGAAAGGAGATGTAATAATAACAATCAGATTTTGCTTTATTTCCACCCCAGAAGTGGCTCCTCCAGGCAAAATCACCCTTGGAAAATCAAATTTAAATTCCAGGGCATTTGGGTTTACTCAGTTTCCAACAAAACCAAAGTGTGATTCAAATACTTGTGGTGATGACAGGTGAGGCAAACATAAGTTCCTGAATACATTATATATTCATATGTTTATATTATATTGCAAAGGCTGGCTTCTGTTCATAAAATTAGTGCTCTTTTTCTTTACTTCCTAGAAGTGCCTACTGCTTATTTCTAGGTATTTAATTTGCTAAAGATAAACACAAATACAGCCACACAGTATTTTGAATGTTTGTATGTTTTTACAAATGGCAATTACTAGTCAGAAAGAAAGTCTCTTAAAAATCTGTATTATCTGGCATGGAGTGACATCTTTCAAAGATGAAATAGCAGTTTGTTTTTTAAAAAAAGAAAGCCCATTATCATCTTACTATATAGTTTATAAATGTCTGTCTGTCTGTCCATCTGTGAGTCTGTTTGTTCAAGAACTCCTTGTTAATGGTAAGCACTAAAACCACCAAATTTGGTATACAGCTTCTTATCATAACTTAAAGCAAGGTAAAGGTTTGGTTGTGCCAGAACAATGGGATGTGCCTGGAATTCAGTTGTTTCTCATAAAATGGAAAAGGAGGGGTCTGGTAGGAGGGACAGTTATACTGTAGAATGACTATAATGGAGCAGCAAGCGACCAGGACAACTATAACCCCATTGGGCCAGAGGGGGGAGGGGTGGTGAAAGGGACAGCTTTCTACTATATATTTCAGAGTTTGTTGGTTTGTTTGTCCGTGTATCTGTCTGCCCTCCAGCAGGGAGATATGCACCCCACCCTGGCTGTGTCTGTTGCAGCAGCCATGAAGAGGCACTTCTCACATGGCCCCAGCTACTATGGTGAGAGAGGGCTGGGGTTGTCCTCTGTCCCCGGGGTAGCCTGCATATTGAACCCCTCATCTCCAGCCCCATTCCAGAACAAAGATTTAACTAAAAAAAAAAAACTTATTTGAATTTAGGACCTGAGCAACGCCAGGTAAGTTGTCCAGTTATATATATGAAAAATGTAAAACCTAACATGAAATGTGTCCCACAACAAATAAAATAAGCAGGACTGGAGCTACTTGATTACATAATCTTGAGTGAATCTTGCCAAATGTAGTGAGAATCCTGTGTGTCACATGTTCTCTGTAAACATACTCTTAGACCCTTTTGAAAATTATACCCCATAGCCTTTTAACAAAATCTATTCAAGTTGAGAAGGCAACAGAGGGTGCTAGTGATAAAACAAAGCTAATTCTTAGGGTTGATTATCTTGTTAATTAAATGATAAAATCATAATCATTTCCTCTCAGTGTTTCAATTAATTCTATCTATAATTAGCCGTTCTTGTTTGGACTGTAAGTGATTTGTAGATGGCTGAGCAAATTGTCACTCTTTGTACTAGTAGTAGATTTGAAGCATTTCAGAGTTAAAATGGGAAAACTCCCTGCAAGCACACTTGGCTTATCAATGATTCTGTTGTTTCAGGTGATCAGACTTTAAGAATTTGGGATGTGAAGACACCAGGAGTCAAAGTGGTGATTCCAGGCCACCAGGCTGAGATCTTGAGCTGTGACTGGTGCAAGTATGACGAGGTATAATGTGTTGTGCCAAACTACAGTAAATATTCCTAAGGGAACCACTTTTCTTAAAGAGTAAAGGTCTTTTACTAGTTTGAACCTCTCTAGTCTGCCACCCTCAGAGCCTGAGTGGTGTTGAACCAGAGAATTTGCTGAACTGTGGGAGGTCAGTATTGTCTAGCAGCATTACCAACGCTTCCATTGCTTACTGGACTCTTAAAAGACATTTAGGGGTAAATTAAATCTAAAGAACATTAAGAGCCAAAACTAGTAGCTTTTGAGACTGCAGAAAACTTGGCCAAACCCATGATAAGTGGACATCCAGATAATTAAAATGATGCCAGACCACTGATGTTGCCAGACCAAAAAGTACCAGACCAGAAAAGTTCAACCTGTACCACATCAGTTTCTTTTCAGCTCTACTGATGTGAGAGTAATAATCATGGTAGGCCATTCTCAGTCACTACCAAAGGCTCATGCCTCATCATTCCCAGGAATAAGTGACATAGGTAGAACTTAGTCTTTGATTATAGTGTTAGACAAACACTTGCATAGTTCACAAAATTGTTTCTAGTGTGTAAAGATTTGTAATTTCCACTTCCACTTTCCTTTTAGACTGTACACTGTGAACTGTGTTCCCTCTAATCAGTGCTTGTGCGGCCATTCAGAAAAGATTCCAAATGCCAGCCAGTTGATTAGCAGAGTGCCCATTTTCATTTCCATTGGTGGTGCACATTCATACATGCCTCAGTGCGCATAAAACAATATTCCACCAAGGGATGAAAAAGACTGGCACATGGGTGGAAAAGATTAGTGGAAACATTGACTATGAATCTCATTTTTATCATTGCAGTTTAATAGTAATCCTGTTCTAATGTGTGTGTGTGTTTTTAATAATTAGAATTTGCTGGTAACCGGCGCGGTTGACTGTAGTTTGAAAGGTTGGGATTTGAGGAACGTCCGGCAGCCAGTTTTCAACCTCTTTGGCCATACCTATGCTGTAAGGAGAGTAAAAGTAAGTTTAGTTCTTTGTCTTACACTCTTGATAGACTAATTTATATTAAGGTGTCAGTAATGCAAACAGTATACATGCATCTTAAGAATTTAATGGCTCACAGACTAGTTATTCTCAGAGCCCTTTCTCCTGGTGCGCACATACAACATTTTGACATTCAAAACAAAGTGTTGGGGTGTTGCGAGATACAGTAGCTTCAAGAGATGATCTTTTCATTAGGGCTTCACAGAATGAAAAACTTAAAGAAAGGCCAGTCAACTTAAATTCTTCATGTAGTTTCAGCTGAAAACAATATATTCCTTCATTCCTTTCTTAAATGGTGTTGTATGATTGCTGCATGCAGTTTAAAGTGGTTTCATTTTATTCTAGAGGTGGCAGAATGTATGTAGAATAAGGCTTAGAATTTACTGATTCTACATTTCAAAAGGGCAGATCCACAGATACCAACTTTATATCCATGGGTAGCCAGATCCATGAATGTGAATGCAGATATCCATGGCTCATTTTTGCAGATATGGAGGCAAATACAAATTTTATATCAAGAACTCTGCATATTTGCAGGTATCTGCTTTATATCCGTGGGTATCTGCAGATATTCATGGATTATTTTTGTGAATGTAGATATGGATGTAGATACAAATCTGCACAGGACTCTAGCTTAAGAGCCTTAGGAGTGAAAGGCAATAATAAGGAGCAGTATAGCCAACCCAAAATTAAGCTTGCAAACAAGTTTCCATTGTAAGCTAAATCCCTCCCACCCTTTCTTACCATTGGCATCAAATTGGCGGGTTAGTAATGTGGCAGAGAGAGAATCTTTCCCACTCTCCCAGTTTGAAGTGAATTTGCTCTTAATGAATGACACTCTAAAAGTAGCTTCAAGAGGTTGCCGATTTAGTCTGTATAGGATAAACTTAAGGGGGTAGAAGTAGAAAGGGTTCAGAATTTTCAAGCCTAATTTCCTTCTCACTTTGTGCTTGGAAAAAAGTACCTAAGTTTACCAGACTCTCTTAGTTGGTCTCCAGGGGTATGTCTAGACTACATGACTCTGTCGACGGAGCCATGTAGATTAGTTTACTAGACATAGGAAAATGAAGTGGCGATTTAAATAATAATCAACAAACTCTTAAGGCTCTTTGGGAAGATTTTCCTCCTGTAGATCTCAGTAGGGTCACAGAAAAGGTAAGGACAGCTGCTGAATCCCACCCCCTTCTCAGATTTCCTAGAGCCTGAAGGACAGCTTCTTTCCCATGAGCCTTGAAAGCATGAACAGTAAGAAGAGAAGGTTTGAAGGCAATGAACCGGCACTCTAAATTAAAGGGTCCTCAACAAAATGTTGCTCAACAAAAATTTTCCCGGCTCCGGGGGTCGCAAATGAAAAAAGGTTGAGCACCACTGCACTTGAACACTGGTCTCAGAGGGCCAGTCCTGTTAGTCTGCATTGCAAAAACAGTGAGGAGTCCTGTGGCACCTTTGGGTGTGTCTAGACTACATGGCTCAGTGGACAGAGCCATGTAGATGAGCTTTCTAGACATAGGGAAATGAAGCAGCAATTTAAATAATCACCGCTTCATTTACATCAAAATGGCTGCCGCGCTGTGCTGATCAGTTGTTTGGTGGCACAGCGCGGTAGTCTGGATGGTCCGCGGTCGACAAGGGAAGCCCTTGTCGATTGCCCCAGTAAACTTCATTCCACGAGGCATAACAGGGCGGTTGACAAGGGCTTCCCTTGTCAACCGTGGAGTGTCCAGACTACTGCGCTGTGCCGCCAAACAGCTGATTGGCACAGCGCGGTAGCCATTTTGATGTAAATGAAGCAGCGATTATTAAAATCGCCACTTCATTTTCCTATGTCTAGAAACCTAATCTACATGGCTTCATCGATGGAGCCATGTAGTCTAGACATACCCTAGGACAAAGCTCTCAAGATTTTGATAGGTTATTAAAATATGAAATAGTAGCTGCACTGTGGCTTATCAGCTCTGATAAGCTCAAGAGGTTCATGGAATAATATGTGAGATCCTGGGGACAATGAATTCCCTCTATTGTTTCCTTCAAACCTCCTCTTCTTACTGTTCATGCTTTCAAGGCTCATGGGAAAGAAGCTGTCCTTCAGGCTCTAGGAAATCTAGGAAGGGGGTGGGATTCAGCAGTTGTCCTTACCTTTTCTGTGACCCTACTGAGATCTACAGGAGGGAAATCTTCCCAAAGAGCCTTAAGAGTTTGTTGGCCCACCTCACAGGTCATAGGAGGTTCATTTAGTGCTATCTCTGTGTCTCTTTGAACTTTAGTATGTGTTTGTCCCTGATGAACTCTGTTTGAGCTTGTCAAGAAACTGTCTAGCTTATTTTGGCTTGTAGGAAGTGGGAGTTGAAGTATCCTGCTTCCCCCGCCCTTCGCCCAATGTGATTCTTATGTCTTTCAGTGAAGGATATGTGGGGAGTGAAGCACACAAAGTGGGAATCTTTATTAGATGGACTCCTCACTCTGGGGTACAGCAGAAACCAGAGAGAGCCCATCCTCTTTGCTGATTTTACGTCTCTTGCCAGCTGCACTTTCCTGCCTTCCTTGTGGATGGTCAGAGAAGAGCTCCAGTCCTGTGGAGATGAAGAAGTTGATGAAGCATCCCACCCCTCATTTACTTAATAGCCACTGCAGGAAGGCAGCCAGGAGCTTGAAGTCTCTCTATAGGTCTTCCTTTGAGAATCAAGGGAGATCTGCATTGGGATTTCCCCTCCCCACCCCATGTTGGGTGACAAGGGTATGCATTTTGTCCCCTCTCCCACACATGACAAATATCTCCACACATTTTCCTTCATTCCCACGCTGGTCAATAGTACATCCAAGATCTACAGGAACAGGTCTCCTCTTGGGCAGATCTTGGGGCCATATAGATAAGGAAATTCCCCTTTCCCCCCAAAGCTTGAAAGGTAAAGTAAATTAGCAGGCACATCAGTGATTAGTATGTGTACTCCCTTTCAAGGTTTTTAGGTCTTTGTTAGAAACCTAGGAAATTCCCTGTTAAGGTGCCAAAGATGAGATGGGCAATTTTTATCCTGCTGCTCTTCCCTCTTCGTTGCAGTTTTCTGGACATGTGCATCTCCACAGTCTGTGCCAGAATTTAACCTGTAGTAGGCCCTGCATTGTGGGAAAATGTATTAGGCTATTTTATGTAATTGCCAGCTTTCAAATTTCACTCCAATCTTCTTAATTAATAAAGGAATTTCAGGACAAAGTATAGCCTTGGTGCCAATGAAATCTATTTTGTATGTGCTCTGAAGTGTGATACAAATTTGGGGATGTCTCACTGTAACAGAGCTGGAAAAACCAAAATGGTGTCACAGCATTACTGAAACATTCTTTATAGACTGAGAAAGCATTTAAGATGTCAGCCGAAAGTAAAGTTTAATAGCCTGCTTTATGTTATTTCAAAGGAAATACCTATTGGAAATCCTGTCACCTCCTTAATTTATAGTAGTGCTGCTGGAAATCACTGCAGTGAAATGGAGTCCTACCAGTATAGTATAGCTGATTTCATATTGCTTAAAGCATAATTGCTAAAGCTCAGTTGTTAAAGTAAGTAGCCTCTTTTGTTGCAGTGTGTTGTGGTACTTTCTTAATCAGTCTTATCAGTTATCTTTGTTATTTGTTTCTAGGAAGTTGGTAAATATGTACCTAAGGTTGGTACTTTTTTTTTCTTTGTTGCAGTTTTCACCATTTCATGCAACTTTATTGGCCTCCTGCTCCTATGATTTCACTGTGAGGTACAGTGTATTTTATTACATGCGAGTAGGAAGAATTTGTTTTGGATTGTGTCTCATCTGTGAGAGAGAGGGTATATTTGTTATGCTAATAGAAAAATGCTCTAAAATTTCACACTTAAGTGTTTGCTCTTGTGATTATTATTCATACTTTACATTAGCTGGCTACAAACGCTTGGATTCTTCTCTATATAAAGGGTATCTCAGTGGCCATGCCCTAACAGAGGCTGCTAGTGAACATTTTCCTACGTTTTTATTCTGAACTAGCCAATTAGCCTGTCATAAGACAGGATTTTCAGGTCTCTCCTCCACGTTGGTCTTCTCTCCTGAGCCTCCTGTCTCTCGTTCCGTCTCTCTCTTCTCTCCTCCTCCTACTTCCTCCCTCCCCCCAGCTCTCCTCCGCCTCCTGCCTCTCTCTCTGTCTCTCTCTTTCACTTCTCCTCCCCCTTCCACTCAGGAGACCATGGAGCCCAAATGACCATTTGGACTCCGCACTCCCCATGATGGAGGGCGGGGCAATGATGTTCACGGCCAGGGGGCGGTGATGTGCGGCGTGACAGCGGCTCCAGGCCCTGCCCCCTGGCCGTGAACATCATTGCATCGCCCCCTTCACCTCCCGCCGTGGCTCTCAGCTGACTTCTGTGCCGCTCAGCCAGGCCGCCGCGTGGGAGCAAGCGGCCGTTTGGGCCCCGCACTCCCCATGCAGCACGGGCCGACCAGACGGAACAGTCAGCATTTCAGCAACAGCGCCGCCCAGAGGGAACAGCCAGAATTTCGGTGTTACAGACTCTCAGACACTGGGCTACTATATTTCTGAATGGGATTTTGTCTAGTTGTGATGTGGATTTTTTTTTACTAAGAAGGTAGTAGTATCCATGTCATTGAATGTATTTGGGTAACTTATCATACCTTTTTGAGATCTATTTGTATTTAAAACTGTTGTGAAGGAAATGTCTGTGTTTGTTTGTCTGGATGCTCCCTCTTGCACGCCCTTTTTCAGTACATGTTTGAAAAATATTAATACATCCCAGGCCATTGGATAGCTTGATATTTTTAGTTTTTAACCTATCGAGTTGTACAGTACAGTAGAACTTCAGTGACTATAACTTGGCTAAATCCGTAAAACTGATGATGGTAGTAAGAGTTTACACAAGGACTGTAGAGAGGTGTCTTATTGTTAAGACTTCACTCTTTATAAGGTATATTAATTTATTTTTCTATACTATCACATACCTCACTACATGCTTATGTTTACCATTCAAGAGTGCATTTTGTGGCATAATTAATTTTTATGCTATAAAGTACATCAAAGACGTTACATTTGATCAATAGGCCTAAACCTCTTTACCCCTCCTTCATACACCCTCCTCCCACAAATGGGCGCTGTGTACACTGCACCCCTTTTCCGGAAAAGGGATGCAGATTAGACACATCGGAATAGCAGAATCCGCGGGGGATTTAAATATCCCCCGCGGTATTTGCATTTACATGGCTGCCGCTTTTTTCCGGCTTGGGGATAAGCCGGAGAAAAGCGCCAGTCTAGATGTGATTCTCCGGAAAATAAGCCCTTTTCTGGAGGATCTCTTATTTCCTACTTTCAAATAAGAGATCCTCCAGAAAAGGGCTTATTTTCCGGAGAATCACATCTAGACTGGCGCTTTTCTCCGGCTTATCCCCAAGCCGGAAAAAAGCGGCAGCCATGTAAATGCAAATACCGCGGGGGATATTTAAATCCCCCGCGGATTCTGCTATTCCGATGTGTCTAATCTGCATCCCTTTTCCGGAAAAGGGGTGCAGTGTACACAGCGCCCATTTGTGGGAGGAGGCCCCCGCGGATTTTGCTATTCCGATGTGTCTAATCTGCATCCCTTTTCCGGAAAAGGGGTGCAATGTAGACACAGCCATGATGTGTTAGAAAACTCTTCTAATTTTCCAAATCCCAGATTTTCCAAAATCATTCAACATTTAAGTGATTCTTTAATTCAGATTGCAGGTTCTTTCTGTGATTTATTTTAATTGTAATCTAGTGCCAGAAGTCAGGTATTCATCAAAGGAGTTCTTGAACAAACAGACTCACAGATGGACAGACAGACAGACATTTATAAACTATATAGTAAGATGATAATGGGCTTTCTTTTTTTAAAAAACAAACTGCTATTTCATCTTTGAAAGATGTCACTCCATGCCAGATAATACAGATTTTTAAGAGACTTTCTTTCTGACTAGTAATTGCCATTTGTAAAAACATACAAACATTCAAAATACTGTGTGGCTGTATTTGTGTTTATCTTTAGCAAATTAAATACCTAGAAATAAGCAGTAGGCACTTCTAGGAAGTAAAGAAAAAGAGCACTAATTTTATGAACAGAAGCCAGCCTTTGCAATATAATATAAACATATGAATATATAATTTATTCTCCTGTACTTGAAATTAGGTAGTTTCTTGTAGAATGCTTTGAAGTGCCGCACTCTGCTTGGAGGGCAGGAGGCAGGGGCAGAGCGGAGAAGGCTTTAGGTGCTCCCCCGCCCCCAGGCTCTAATTGGCTTGGGGGCGAGGGAGAAGCAGGGCCTCCGCGGGTTGGATCCACCCGCTTGGAGGGCTGGATCTGGCCTGCGGAAGCCCTTTTGCCCACCCTTGCCATAGAATATCTGATCCAATGCTGGTGTTCACACTTATTTTTTAACACACATTCTTTATTCTCACACACAAAGCAGAAATGATTTCTTTGGTACACAGACACAATATGAATATTTAAGCAGGACCATTACATTACATTTGAAAGAAAACAATCATCATACCCTTTTACTTATTTCACAATACTAGTTTTAAAACTTAAAACAGAAACCATAAGAATCTATTTCTGCCTTGGAATTGACTTCAGGGGAGCGCCTGAAGCCTTCTCCACTCTGCCTCTGCTCTCCGAGCAGAGTGCAGCACTTCAAAGCATTCTACATGAAACTACATCATTTCAAGTACAGGAGAATGGTTTTGCTGCAAGGTTTATACATATATACTGGACTTCCATGGTACCTGGAACACTTAAGCCACGTGATGCAACTCAAAATTCTGGCTGGTGCACCTTTACCAATGATAAAGTAGAGGTCCATTTTGTTTTCAGAAAGGCTGGCTGGCAGAGTACACTGAGGTACATTACATTAGATAGAGCTACATTTTAACTACATGGCTATAACAACGGGGCAGTGTAATACAGTAAGCCTCTTAGCTACTGTATACACCTATATCAAAACAGTCTCAAGGTAGGGAGAGGAGAGAGAATTAAAAAAATGTAGGGCAGTCATCTTAAAATATTCAAAGTAAAAAATCAATATATTAAGTAAAAACTTAATACTGTATATGGATACACCAACCTGTTAGAACAATGGAACATGGTGGCCTTTGTAAAGCTTATTAATCTTTGAGTTGCTTCCGGGGAGGGTGACGGACAGCTGTGTTGACACTCTGTCGATGATGGAGCTCCCAATGTGGACATGATCTTTCGACATAGGGAGCAAGTATGACCACCCTCTGGTGATTTTTGTTTTGTCAACTTTTGGGTGTTGACACAAGTTTTGTTGACAAAGCTTGTAGTGTAGACAAGGCCTTAGACTTTAAATCCAGAAGGGATCATCATGAGCATCTAGTCTGACCTCCAGCACATTGCAGGCCACAGAACCTTGCCTACCCACTCCTGTAATAGAGCCATAACCTCTGGCTGAGATACTGAGTCCTCAAATCATGATTTAAAGACTTCAGGTTACAGAGAATCCAACATTTACACTAGTTTAAACCCACAAGTGACCCATGCAGCAGAAGATGGCAAAGAATAAAAGCAGCGTATCTGCCAATCTGACCTGGGGAAAAATTCATTCTAAACCCTAAATATGATGATCTGTTGGACTTTAAGCATTTTATCAAGACTCAATAGCCAGACACCAGTAAAGAATTACATGTGAGTAGCTCAGAGCCTTCTCTGTCTAGTATATCATTACTAGACATTGGGGAATATTTGCTACTAACAATTGCATATCAGCTGTATACCATTAAAGACTGTCTTATCATAAGATACTTTCCATAAACGTTACCAATCTCAATCTTGAAGCCAGTTAGGTTTTTTCCCCCTCGCCACTGCACTTTAAGATAGTCGTGCAATACATTTATATAAATGAAATGAAATCTGCTAATGATCTCCTCTTAAAGTCAATCAGTGCAGAAGTTCTCAATACTTCTCAAGTTAAAATTTCTAATGTGCTCCAGGCCACTTTATTTGTAGTAGTATTGGCTTACCTTGAAACAGTTTGTAGAGATGATGTACACAGTAAAAGAGCTTTCAGTAGGATATATTTAATCCTTTGCAGCAGAGGCATATATCCATAAATACTCTCTTAAAGCTGGCCCTTTACCAGCTTAATACCTTTTATAATTTATCAAGCCTCTAGTTAGGTGCTGATGTGCAGTGTCTGTGCCCAGAGTCTTGGGGTGGAGGCTGTTGTGAAATGATGCCAAAAAACCCATAAAATACGTATTCTGGTTAAAGCTGCAGCTGACATTTTAAAGATGAATTTTGATGAAACAACAGTTTATAAATGGGTTCATTTCAGTGAATCCTGGAAAATTTCCTACAGGACAGTGTATGGTTTCTGGTATTTTAAAACCTCAAAATGTGATGAAATTTTAATTAATGCTGACTTTTTCTAACACCTCTCAGAAGGAAGCTGTAGGACCAGATGAAAGTTGAATTTTGATGTAGCGTGGATTAGAGATGAGCAAGAATCAAACTCCTCCAGCCAAATACTCAAAACATTAATGAGGCTCAGATGTAAATCTGATTTTTGTAGCTAGTTTTGTCTAAACCTAATTTGAAAACATCAACTAGTCCTGTGGCACCTTAGGCAATGTCTACACAGCAGCATTATTTTGGAATAAATGATGTTATTCCAAAATTACAAAGAGCGTGTCTACGCAGCAAGCCATTATTTCAAAATAATGTTGAGCTGGAGGACTTCTTACTCCGATTCCTGTAACCCTCATTTCACAAGAGTGAAAGAAGAGTGTTCTTCCTTCGACTTCCTGCTGTGTAAACAGTGGCAAAAGTCAAATTAAGCTATTTCGACTTCAGTATGCAATTGACATAGCTGAAGTTGTGTAGCTTAATTCGACATTTGCCCTGCTTTGTAGACGTGCCCTTAGAAACTAATAAATATATATATACATACACATTGTATCGTGAGTTTTCGTAGACAAAACCTACTTCTTCAGATGAGCTTGGAGCAAAGGCATTTACCTGACTTTTGACATCATTTTCACATCAAACACATGGTACACATCTAGCCTGCTTAATTAACAAGGGTTCTAGAATAGTCAGGTAATGTTTTTTGCTGTTACATATACCTTGGAGTCTGTAATTTCTATTCCTACTCATCTGATGAAGTGGGTTTTACCCAGAAAAGGTGATGAACCTATATATGTGTTAGTCTCTAAGGTGCCACAGGACTACTCATTGTTTTTAAAGTTACAGACTAAAACAGCTGCTCCTCTGAGACTTTTTGTAATATATAATACTAACTAGGCAGTCTTGTTATACTTTAAAGAGTACACAGCTCAGTTTTTGTTTTTATTTCTTTCCACATAAAATCTACAGTTCTCTGTCAATCTTAAATTTGAACTAAATTTAAGGAGACTGCAAAGTCAATACAATAAGGAAACCACCACCAGTTTTTAAAAACTACAAGACTTGTTTCCATATCTGTTTTAACAGACAAATTTAAGAGTGAAATTTGTTCATTTTGTGCTTAGATGTTCTTTTGTTTCTATTTTCCTGTAAAATGAGCTGTTTATATTGCCTCTATGGTACTAGGAAGATGTAAAGAGGGTTGTTGCTATGGCTTAGCCATTGTGTCGATCTCACTTTACTCATTTATTAAGGAAATAACACAGACAGGTTAAACAAACTAATTCTGTTGGCTCCAATGTTTGCCGTT